CGGGTGGGTGCATGTGGCCAGAGGCCCACGGGGAAGCATGTGCTTTGACAAAATACGACCTCTGAGGGAGACACAGGTGCTAGGCCAGGTATCCAGCCTGCTGGAGCTTAGAAGTAGAGGCTCGTACTGAACTGGGAAAGATTTTACTTTCAATTTCCCTCTTTTTTTTTCATAGTGTCTTCTGCATTGAAGCAGTCCTGGGGCAAAAATCATGTCCTAAGGCGATGGAAAACTATGTGGCGTCGATGGTGCTGAGCGCAGTTGGTGACACGCTGGGCTATTATAATGGGCGATGGGAGTTCATGCAGAGTGGCCCAGCCATCCACAAAGAGCTGGCGGAGATGGGGGGACTCGGCAACTTCAGCCTCCAGGGTTGGAAAGTCAGCGATGATACAGTGATGCACTTGGCCACGGCTGAAGCCCTGGTAGCTGCTGGGAAAAACCCAAGTTTAGCACATCTCTATTCTCTGATTGCAAAGAACTACAAGGAGTGCATGAACGACATGAATGGCAGAGCTCCAGGTAACCCCTCCATAATACTGTCTGAGCAGGGCTGTCCTCTCACTAACGTCTCTCCCTTTCCTGCAGCTTGGAGCTGAGGCTGGCCCTGGTTCTGCTTTGGCTGTTTATAGCATTAACTGTATTTTGTGTAAAGACAAGTTTTCCACACTCGGTACCTGTTTCAGGACAAACTGAAGAGAACAGAAATAAGGCAAGGTGGAGTGGTTTGGGCTTCTCTGAACTAGATGAAAAAGATATTGTTTTGCCCACATTTACAAAACATTCTCACAGGTGTGTTTGAGGCCTAGCCTTGAACTCAGGGGGAGGATGCTGGCTTTTGTGCCGGGGATGTGTCTTTTCCAACACTCAGTGGATGAAAACCACAAATTCAGCCATGTATAATGGACACCCTGAGATGGTGTGTTAAAGTAACACATTTACACAAAGGATTAATATAGAACTTCTTGTAATAAATACAATAAATTACACATAAAAAATATTTCATATAAGGGCATGTAGCGATAGGACAAGGGGCAATGGCTTTAAACTGGAAGAGAGAAGATTTAGATTAGATGTTAGGAAGAAATTCTTCCCGGTGAGGGTGGTGAGGCACTGGAACAGGTTGCCCAGAGAAGCTGTGGATGCCCCATCCCTGGAAGTGTTCAAGGCCAGGTTGGATGGGGCTTTGAGCAACCTGGTCTGGTGGAAGGTGTTCCTGCCCATGGCAGCGGGGTTGGAACTAGTTGATCTGTAAGGTCCCTTCCAACCCAAACCATTCTATGATTCTATGATATGATTCTGTGATTTAAAGGCACAAAGATCCTTGCTTGGAATAGTTAAGTTTATTAAACCTGAAGTCTACTTTTGGCTATCTCCGCATGTCTGCTTTCTGCCACAGGACAGTCAGGCCACAGTCGTCTTTTCTGAACCCTGTATTTCCATCATTCCTCTTTTCTCTGCATAGGCACAATGGTGCCAAGTTTGGGTCGCAGGCAGCAGCGTCTGGCAGCGTGTGGCAGTATTCAGGAAGGGTACCTTGACAGGCTGCAGTAGCCAAGCCGTATACAACGTATTCTGATAGTTCCTAGTTCACCTAGGCCTGCTGACCCAACTCTTCCCCGAGGACTCCATCTGTCTCTGTGCTCATGGCCCAGCCTTTTCTGGATTCTTGAGTTAAACTTAAATCTGGGCTACTGAGGCTGAGCCTCTAATTTGACTAGTGCAGGCAGTGTGAAGTATCCAGGAAACACTCAAATTCAGCAATCCTATGCAAAGTTTATGCTTTGAAAAGAAATTGGCTAGACATGCCTATTTGGAGTGGCCAGAAAATAGCAAGAATGTTCTGGCTTGACATTAAACGTGGGAAAGGCCAAATTCTGCATTGCTCTCTTAGGGCCACTGAGCGTAGTGCGACAGAGCTGTGCATTTCCAAGGTAAACCAGGTTGGAAACTCGAGCAGGAATTTATTCTGCTTACATTTCCACAGTGAGCTCCTACCCTCGTGTAAAGAACTAAACTATCAGTTTTCTTTAACACAGATAGTCTCAGTTGTTGGAGTAGCCTAATTAATAAAATATTTAGGAAGGGGTAATGATGCTTGCCACGATAGCGGGAGTCAACAGCTTAAACTTCCAAGAGACTCACTGCTGTTTTGGCAATATTGTGATTCCCCCAGCTGATGGGGTCTGCCAAGGTGGACTAACCACAGCTGGCAGTGAGACAGCACCTGGAAGCTATTTTTGCCTCCGTTATCTAAGCTTGGTGACTAAAACCTGAGATGAAAAGGAGAACCTAAAATTTAAATGTTAGTAATTAATGGCTAAGGATAATAGCACGGCTGCTGCAGTCCTTCCGTGAGTAACAGCTGCAATGTGCCCAACAGCAGTTCCCATTTGGAAGTGAAGAATTTCAAAGTAAATTTGCTATGGATGCTAATCGGATTGACAAGGAAAGGTTGGGTTATCTAGCTAAACAAAGAAATGCAGCTTCTTTAGTGGGTCCATGGACACTTAACCTCGTAAAATTTTGTGAGAAGTGGGGAAAGCAACATGGAAAAAAATGGAAGTCTGTTGGCAATGTTGTTGCAATAGCGTTCTGGAGTGCTCCTGCTGCAGCCACAGGACAGGCACTCAGCTCTGAGAGCTTAAATCCTAACCCCTGTACTACCAAAGGGAATACCTAATTCATATCTTGAAAAGCTATCTGCAGTCTGGAGTCTCCATGCCATATTGATAAATCCTAATGACAGAAGTTGTGTGTCAGTAACTTCTTTCGGCAGTTCAATGTAAATGGATTTTAACTGAGAACATAACCCAAGGTGATGCTGTTCTGGCCAAAGTATGTACTCACCGGGGAATTGCAGCCCTTAAGGCTGAGAATGGCAAATTGCTGCTGCAACTTTCACCCAACAGAGAAGAGATTGCCCCAGAACAGTGGGGGGAAGTCACATTGCTCGCCCACACACAGGAGTCCAGACCTGAAAACGGAAAACCTGCAGTAACAAAGGGATTCTCGCAACATTATGAGTCATCAGACAGCCACGGCAGGGTCCCTCAAGTATGCAGCCCCAGGAGAGAACTCACTGTCTTAATTCAAGGGCAACTTAATCCCTACATCCATTATTGCTATTTGTGATGTGCTGCAGCCCCAGATTCATTGTTCTTTGCAGATAATGAAGCAATGAATTAAGCGACACAAGCATGGACATACTTCTTTTTTCATGGTACAACTACATCTGCCTCCACAGCTCTCCAGGAAACCTTCTGCTCTTTTGGTCCAAGTCCTCTCCCTGTGGAATTATTTACCACTATGTGGTTGTTTTAACTTGCCTTTTTTATATGTACTGGTCAACCCCAAACAACTGTTATTGTTTGTGCTCATGAAGAGTCTAAATAAGTGGAAAGGAAGCCTATTCCAGAAATAGCGTCCAGTTGTACTTGAAACTTTTTGAGGTTGTCTTTCTTCACACGCTGCTTTTTGCTTGTATTTCTTCTTTCCTTAGATCAGTACCCTCCTCAGGTTACTTTTAGTTTCTTACTGTTAGTACAAGGGATTCCTAACCAGGATTTGGTGGATTTCCAAAGAAAAGTTTCCTGATTCAAAAACTCCTACAGCAGTTTTGGTTTTTTTTAAACCTGTTTTTTAAGAAAGACCTGACAATGTGATTTCAGCTTAGTCTTCCTAAATCGGCTTTCAAATGTTTTAATATTTTAACTGTTTAAAAGCATGAGGATAATACTTGTAATACTTCATAAATCACAGGAGTCTTAGCTGTTGTATACTGGTTTGTTTTACACAATTTTTCCATTTGCAGGTTATCAGTGGTCATCTCCTAAAGTAATATGCACAGGCTTAAAGCTGCAAGTAAATTGTATTGCAAAATAAGCAGTCTTTCTTTACAGTTTAAGCCTTGTCATCTTCCTCATTTTCTTTTGACTACAGTTAATGCAAGAACAATCTCACTTTTTATCAAGGACTGAGATGCCTGGTTTCAACCTGCCCAAACATGTCCTGAAGAAATGTTTTTCTCGCAGTTCCAGCAAGATTAGAGTTCGTTTTGCTTTTGTTATGCAGATTTTGATTGTGAGCTACCCTAGTCCCTTTGCTCTCTCCCCTTCCCCTTGTCTTCCTGGCAAAAGGTCTGTTTTACCGGGAACATACAAATACGGTAGCTGGTACAGCTTTTTAAAAATGTGGCTTTGTTTGACAGGTTCTTTTTAATGTCCTGTTATAGGTCATAAATGCAAGGCTCAGTACAGATTTGTGAAAAAATGCCTAAATTTTCTGTTAATCATCATAAAGTTGGAAATTATACTAATATCCCTCTTAAGGATTTTGATCTGTAGCAGCCAGCACTGAATTAATAAACTACATGAAAAGCAGATTTAGAGGCCTGAACATGTTCCCACTTTGAGACATCACAAAACCAAAGTCCCAGGCAGTTCAGTTAGAGGTTGGTGGCCATCAGTCCCGGCAGAGCCCAGCACTGCCCATACCAAATGCTGCCTATTGCTTCTTCCAGCAGAGAAACATGGTCCTGCAATTTTCAATCTGTAAGTCACCAGGGAGAAGGATGTGTAAGGAACATCTGGACTGATCCAGGGGTTGGCTGGCCATGTGGCACCGCAAAACCGGCCAGTCTCATCTACTGGGAAGGGTGTGCCGGTGGCATCACGCGAGAGGCTGATGTGCTGGCACAGCAGGCACGGATGAGGCTGGTGAAATAGTGGGTCTGGTTTGTGCCTGGGTCAGGCTGTGGGCAGAGCTAAAGTGGCCTGACATTGTGGGCTGTGCTGATCGGCAACCTGGTTTTTCCTATCGAGGAGACTTGCATAGGCCATTTCCATTCTCAAAGTTGGTTTCACTTGACAGGCTTGCAGGGCAAATAGCCTGACAGCCGCAGGACCGAGCTGCTTTTCCAGTTTGAGACAACCGTTCACGGGAAGCTGGTCCACCCATTCACACTGCACAGAGGGCTGTATCCTGTGCTTATCTAATAAGCCTATAATGTAACACCACTGTTGGAAAAGAGAGATGCTAAAGAAACTTAGACCAGCATGTGACCTTATGCCTGACAGTGGCCAGCCATTATTTATTTTTAGCATATGTCGAGAAGTCAATCTTAAAGCTGTGCTTGGATATGGAGGTATTTCAGTTACAAGGGTGCTGTAAATGCTATGTGCAGGTAAAATAGACTGCCATATACCAAATCCTACTGCCAAGCGTATACATGGAAGTGCAGAAGTGAAGAGCTGTGCAGAGTACTTAGTGCCGTACCTCGCTGTGATTAGCAAGGTCTGAGATCATGATGACTGAATTGCACCAAAGGTAATTGAATTGTAGAGTTAGATGAAGTTTCTTGACCGGGCTTCTTCCTTGCTACTGTGTTCTATTTAGTTTGACTTTCAAAGTAACAAAGGACCTGCAAGTTTATCAGCTACCTGTCCGAGGTAGGCAGCAAAGTACAGGGGCAACGGTCTAATTTTGGGTATGTGAGCATGTCAACTGCTGCTGTTACCCTAGGTGGCTGAGAGAGGACTGGGCACGCTGTGGTTAGGGGAAGACTAGTCCTTTGAGTCTGCTTTTGCCATTGTCCAACTCATTAAAACTTAAATGAAGCTGCTTGAAACCTGCCCTTGACTTACCTTTCTGCTGGAAAAGAGGTATTTCAGATTTGGCCAGAAGAGAGGACTAGGAGAAAAAGGCAAGGTAGAAGAGAATCAAAGATAATTTAATGTTTCAAACCTGTTTCCTCTTCCTTGCACACAAACATTTGGGCTTAGCTCAAAACATGTTTCATGGTCTTGGCCGGGGAAGCTGCCTTGGCTGAGAAATTTGGATGTGTTTGTGCAGATGGCTTTATCCTATGAATGTGCTGGACTAACAGGTGAGTTTCTGTAGCAGCATCACTGGAAGAATTGGAGTAATTTCTTTAAAAAGTAAATAGCAGCACTATGGAAGATATGGAGGTAGGCAAGGAGGAGTTATGGTGTGGCTTCCCACCAGAAGAGAGGCAAAATTGGACTGGGGTGTCAGCTTGGAGCAGGAGAAAACTCAGGAGGAGAGACAAAGTATATACAATCTTGAATAGTGTAGACCATGAGAAGTCATTATTTCTTGTAATATAAGAATCAGAGGGGAATTTAAGGAAATTGTCAAATGGCAGTTTAAAACAAAAGGAAATGCTTTGCATTAACAAAATCATGGTTCTGCTTACCATGGGATGTTAAAGGAGTCTGAGGGCATGCATGGGTTCAAGCTGAGGAGACCAGTTCATGGTGGCTAGGTCTGCTAGGCGTTACTGAATGCACCACTTTGGATCCATCTTTTGACTCAAGCAGGCTGTGCCTCTCTGCTGGAAGCCAGGTGGGTCTTCTTGGGGAAACATTGTACTTGCCTCATTTTTTTTTATCCTTTCCACAGTTACCTGTTAGTGACTGTGTTTAGAGACGAGCTAGTGGGCTGGGCAAACCTTTGGTCTCACCTAGTACAGTCATTCTTTCAGCTTATTGAAGAGGAGTAGAGTAAAGCCAGTTATCCAGACCATGTTGTGGTGAGGGAGATATTACATTCATCTCTTTCCGACAAACTTAAACTGCAGCAACGGAGATCTGGAAAACATTTCCTATCAGTGAGGCAATGGTAAAGATTCCTGGGGACTGTGGGGGGTCTCTGCCTTTAAAAGACCTTGTAAAGAGGCTAAACAACTAAAAAAGCAGAGGTACTTAGCCTTGCCTTGTGTCAGGGATCCTCCAAACCTCCTTTCTGTTTCTGTTTATATGTATCTATCTAGATATATGTGTACGTGATATACCTTATATAGTATATATATTTTATAGAGAAGTTATTAAATAAATAACATGAAATATAAACAATGTAAATAAATCAGCAGTGGAATATTTCTTGCCCCCCTAGACTTTTTAATTATTTTGATAAACAGGAATTATCAGGTCTGCTTGGGAGCATGCAGGATGCAGCAGCAATTTAAAGGAGGATACATACGTGAGGAGATGTTTTTAAGGGGAAGCTCGAATCCCTTAACACAGCGTAATACTTCCTTCCCTACTACCTTGCCTGTCTTCTCTCAGTCCTACTGATCTGCGTTTCTCTTTCTTTCTGTTCTTTTTTGTTATCTGCTGCTCCTGTCCAGGTGCCACGTGTGAGGCGAACGCACTGAAGCTGGATCCGGGGCGGCCGGACGGCTGGAGGATCCCGTTCAGCCCCCGGGCAGGAGGCTGCGGGGCTGCCATGCGCTCCATGTGCATTGGGCTGCGTTTCTGCCACCCCGCTGAGCTGGACACCCTGGTGCAAGTCAGCATCGAGAGCGGCCGAATGACCCACCACCACCCCACCGGCTACCTGGGGTCCTTGGCTTCGTCCCTCTTCACAGCTTTTGCCGTGAACGGCGCGGCGTCCCCCACCCCGGGGGAGGGGCGGCGGCCTGGGGGAAGGGGCTGCTGGAGGTGCTGCCACGGGCAAAAGCCTACGTGCGGGACACCGGCTTCTTTGTGGAGGAGAACATGGGGCAATGGTAAGCTGTGCTCCGAGCACCGGGTTTTGTTAAAATAAACCTCACGTATGAGAGGGTGAGCTCTGTTTATACTTAAGCTTCAGTAATCACATTATGGTAAAATCCTAGAGCAGCACATGTCTGCCATGGGATCGAATCGATTCAGAAAGTCTCTGAAGTCCCTCAGAGGAAAAATACCTCTAACTTAGTTTTAAAAAAAAAAAAGGCAGATTATGTTTGGGTCGTACTTGTGACATTTTTTGGATCCAGTATGAAGTAGCTAGACTTGTCATCTCAAGCAGCTCTTATCTGATGAAAGATGGGAAGCAGGGCTGGGGAACAGCACCCGGCTTAGAGCTGAGCTCAGTTTGAAAGTTACAACGAAATCTGACTGCAGATTCAGTGCGGCTCTGTCCACAGGGGCACACACAGACAGGGGTAGAGGTACTCTGAATTTGGGAGGATGACTCAGTTCTCACTCTGAGCCTTTGAATCCTGTGCAGCACGACAGCAGCAGGTGCTGGGCTGCCTTCTCCCATGTGGCTGGAGGGAGGGGAAATTAACTCACTGAAACATCTACTTGTGCCTCTTACTGTAAATCATGTCCCTAGTTTGACAAATGGGGGATGCCTGCCTCTTTGCCGAGCCAACGCTCCTGGGCTCTTGATGTACCACGTTTTCAGCTGCTGCCTGGCACGCAGGCGGGGAGCTTGGGTATGTGCTTCTGCCGTGGGACGGCTCTTACAGCCCCTCCATCCCCTCCCCTGTTTTGCAGGCATTACTTTGAAGAACAATGGAAAAAATACCTGGCAGAGAGAGGCATATCGGATGGGGTCTCACTGCCTACCTTCCCCTCCAAGTATGGCGTGGAAGAGAGAGACTCCTTCTACACCTCCCTCAGCTACGACGGCTGGGGGGGCAGCAGCGGGCACGATGCCCCCATGATCGCTTACGACGCGCTGCTGGGTGCAGGGGACTCCTGGGCAGAGCTGGCTCACCGGGCTTTCTTCCATGGGGGTGACAGCGACTCCACCGCTGCCATCGCAGCCTGCTGGTGGGGGGCCATGCATGGCTTCCAGGGGGTCCACACCTCCCTCTATGCCCACTTGGAGTACAGGGACCGCCTGGAACAGGTGGCCAAGGACTTGTACCACATCACCTAGGTGGGGGGGGCGGCAGGGCCCCCCAGGGGTATGCTTACCCCACCTGCTGCCCCTTAAGATTTTGCAAACCCGCTGGCTTAAAGGTTGCTTAAAGGCCAGAGCCAGGCCTGCTTTTTCTGTTTGTGTCTGTTGGAGAGGCCATTTCGGAGCTAGCAGCTTGGAGCTGGTGGGAAGCAGTTACAAGGTGTGCCAAGCCCCGAGACATCCCTCCTCTGCTGCGTGGTGGCTGCACATCGTCCGGTCCTCAAGGGGAGCAGCAGCAGCTGCTGCAGCACTGCTAGCCATGCTCCAGCAGCAGGACAGGCAGCAAAACTGACTCAAGCTGCCCCAAACCAGGGTCCTGCCCATAGCAGCATGCCAGAGGGGGTCAGGGATGCATCCCTGACTGCAGGGAGCATACATGGGCTGGCAGAGATGCCGCCCAGCAAACTGTCAACGGGGAGTGCCGGGGACACCACTTGCCATCTAGCACTGAGCATCTGTAGAGCTAAAACCTCTGCTCCTTAGGACAGAAACTATAGCAGATGCAGCCCAAGACAACCTACTGGGGGGAGCGGGGCGGGGGGCAAACAGGCAGTTGTGCCTGGGGACAACAGAATTTTCACATACAATTATTTTAGCAGAGGATGTTTTTTGTTTTAAATGAAGGAGGGGGGGGGCGGCAAATGCAGCCTTGCAGCTGTGTCAGCAGTGCATTTTGCACAACTTCACAGCACTTTCGCTATACAGGTAAGAATGTATCGCACTACTTGCCTACTTCAGTTAATGTGGGAGTTCAAGCCTACTGACCCTTACTGAAGGTAAAAGTGTGTAATAAGAATTAACAGGTTGCATTTTACATCAACTTGAGCAACTTCTGTAGTGAACTATAGTCTTTTGTTTACATCAAGGTTACTAAAGATTATTTGCTTAACATTTCCTATGGCTAATTCTATTAAAAAAACCCATTTTTTTCTTCAAGTCCAGACTGTGACACAGCAAAATACTTACTATTTTCAGAGCCATTTCAACAATGCTGTATCCCATTCAATAAACAGACCTGACATGCCTCTATTAAATGTTATATTCTATTATGGGATGAATTAAGAGATGGAAGGGAGAAGTATGAAGAGCCAGAGGGTGCGAGGTGTCTGCAAGCTCCAACCTGCAAGAGAGGAGCTGCGCTAGTGGGGTGGGAGGTGAGTTAATGTATCAGGGAATGGGGTGGTGGGAGAGGGAGAGGCTGCCTAAAAAGGAGAGGTCAGCACAGCTTTACGCAGGGAGTGAGCATAAAGGCATAATGAAAGCCTAAATCTGACAAAAACCAGCAGCAATAGGATTCACAATTTCAACACAGTTTACTACATCTCTCTGGTGTGTTGTATAAAACATGTTTTAGTGCAACATAGTACAAAGTTGTTTTGTTCTTTTTTTTTTTTTTAAAAAAAAATCCCAAACATTTTTCCACCTCATGCATGGATAGGGTATCTCTCTCCTTGGGTTCGTTACAGAAAGTTACAGCAGAGAGAGTGGTTTGAAAAGCTTCATGTTAAAACTCGTTACAGGAAGAGTCTGCCTTATAAAAACAGAGAGAAGTTTGAGACTGGGCAACACACTGCCAGAGCAACAGAGAAATGTCACCGGCAAGGTACATTCAAGGGACCACCGCGGGCGCTGCGTCCCGGGAAAGCCTGGGCTCGGTGCAGGAACCACAGGCTGGGAAGGGACCCGTTCTGGCCAGGGGGACGGGGCCATGGGACAGCCCTCCAGGAGAGCCCTGCTCTGGGGCAGACAGGCTG